CTCATCCTTATCCAAAACTCTTCCCTCTTTAAGTCCCTCAACTTTCAAACTTTTGGCTATCAAGCCCAAAACAATATTTTCTCACACAAAAACCCTTACTTAAATGCTAAAATAGCACAAAATTTTGGGGTATTACAATGAGCTTCATAAGAATTCTTGGAGGTTTTGATCCTTGTTACTCTATACACACAAAACAACTTTTCAGCAGGGTAGCTGTTCAATCTCCAAGCAAACATTAGATAAGGAAAATGGAAGTTCTGCGAGTAAGAGTGGCAATTTGAATTTTCATATGGTACATTGTAGTTCTTGTTTCTTTTCTCTTCATAATTTGCATGTTTTTCTTTTACAGTGATTCCATCTTGATGCCATATAATTACAATGCTTCTTCAATCCTTCATATCTACCATTAGCTCATCAAAGGTGTTTTCAAGATATGGATTTATAGTTACATATTTAAACTTCTATGCTCCATCGCTTTTTGCACTCATCTAATGTTTCCCTACTTAAATCAGGGAGACCTTGGACATACTAAATTATCACTCAACATCAAGTTTTTTTTTTCCCTTCTTGTGTCAAGATGGGATGGTTGCTGTAACTAGACCAAGATAGAGGTTTAAGTCAGGAAACTTAAGCATCTTCAGGCTTGCATTAGGACTTAATTGGGAGGCACATGCTGTCATTTTGTTAAGTTGCCACTACATAACGGATTGAACATTAAAAAATTGTTGATAACGTTTTGTGTTGTTGAATTAAGAGGCTTGAATGCTGCTGTTAAAAGTAAAATCGCTATTGTTTTGATGTCATCCGATCCTTTTTATTGCCTCATCATACCGGTGAGGACTAATTGACATGCACCAATATTATGTTGCCAAATTTTTGGATGAACCAGGCAGGAAAGGATTGGTTGTCTTAATGCTGGGACAAGGGAGATACTGCTTGTGCTGTTTCTGAATTATTTTATTATTGCTTTCAAGCTTACAATTGCTGAAATTAGTTTTGTTTAAACTGCTGCTTTGATTGCGTAGGCCTTGTGAGTTTGACTTGTTTTAAGATTCATGTTTGTGTAGATTAATTAAGGTTTTTTAACATATGATTTAAAAATTATAAATTAAAGTGTAATAAACATATTTTTATTATAAATTTATATTAAAAATAAAA